TACTACTCTCCATCTCCCAAACCTGAGTACAAGTCTCCCCCACCACCGTATGTTTACAATTCTCCTCCACCTCCGCCGTACTACTCTCCATCTCCAAACCCTGAGTACAAGTCTCCACCACCACCGTATGTTTACACTTCTCCTCCACCTCCGCCTTACTACTCTCCATCTCCCAAACCTGAGTACAAGTCTCCCCCACCACCGTATGTTTACAGTTCTCCTCCCCCTCCGCCATACTACTCTCCTTCTCCAAAACCTGAGTACAAGTCACCGTACGTTGACACTTCTCCCCCACCTCCTCCATACTACTCTCCATCTCCAAAATCTGAGTACAAGTCCCCACCACCACCGTATGTTTACACTTCTCCCCCACCTCCTCCATACTACTCTCCATCTCCAAAACCTGTGTACAAATAAGCACCACCACCATATGTTAAAAGCGTTGTATACCTCCTTCGACGTATTATTCTCCATCTCAATGTCTTGCGCGCAAGTCTCCATCATATTCCTATATTGAAGTTGGGTAATATTTTTCTTTTCAACTAAATACATATCTAAATTTTTGTTTTCAACAATTTCTTATTTCAATTTTGATTCTTTTGTCACGTGATGTCTGATATTGTTATGTTAAATTGATCACCACTTGCATGGAGTATTTGTATTCCTCCATCTATATGTATTAATAAAATTGTTCACATTTGTTTATCGAACATTGTCTTTTATACATTTATTTTTATTGATTGAAAAATAAAAGTCTTGTTCGGTTTGGACATCAATGACACTAGTAACTTGGGAAAACGAATGATATCACAAAGGGTGACATAGAACCCTTTGATATCGTCAAAGGAACTCCTCTCAAGTAGTTGAAATACATAGAAAAGTATTCAATCATTCAATTTTCAAACCAATCAGAAACAAAAGAAAGAATTATTTTTTTATTGATTTTAATCATGATGTGTGTACAAAAGAGAAGGCTTTATAAGATTATTAATCTAAAATCAAGTAATTAATACGAGAAAAAAATATCTACCATAATTTATACAAATTTCATATTTTAAATTTTAATTTTATAACATATATTTTTTCTATTTTAATTAAAACTTTAATAAATATTAAAATTATATATTTGTCTAAGAAATGTCGAGCCCTAAAAATATTGAAGACTTTGTGTGGAGACTCTAGTCGGTCCCCTATTAGAAATATTTTTTTATCTTCAAAATATAATCAAAATCTCCAAAACATTTATACATAACCATTAAGATCGATTATATATTTCGTTCCAAAGAGACGAGTTTGGAAAGACAGTGGAAATGAGAATTTACTCACAATTCAGAAAACTCTAAAAAAATCTAAATTTTCAAAACGGTTCTACAATACCAAAATTAGGCAGACTATATACCATATTTTTTAAAGAAAAGTTGAGGCCTTTTGGGAAGACACCAACAAATAAAAAATGAAGATTTATCATTTATAATATGTGGTTGGAAAACAAATATCTTTATTATCGTCATCCTCGTATATTGAAGAAAAAATGACATTTTCCTACATATATTTTATCCAATGTGACAAGTAAGGGGGCAGATGATAACGCTCATGATGAGTGTGAGGAAACTGAGCAGCACACAAGTGAGGGGGTTGATGACAATAGTGGTGATAAGTCTGAGGGAAATGATATGAAGACATAGTATCAACTAACAGTTCCGATCAGTAAATGTTTCAAGGCAACGCAGTGCATTGGATATGGTAATGGAAGATCAGGTGGTCCAATTTCCAAAGCTGTGGGATTACGAGAATGAGCTCCGAAGGTCTAACCCTAACACAACCACTGAAATTGTAACTGATAATGGGTTATTTGACAAATTCTACATATGCTTTGAAGTGATACGCAACTCGTGGAAGCAATCTTTTCGACCATCCATTGGACTTGATGGATGCTTTCTAAAGTGGGAGCTAAAAGGAGAACTACTTGCAGCGGTTGGTCGGGATGCCGATAACCGTATTTTTCCTATTGCATGGGTTGTTGTACATATGGAGACAATAGATACCTGGACATGGTTTTTTAAGAAACTTAAAGCTGATTTATCCTTAGGAAATTGGCAAAACATCACCATATTGTCTGACAAACAAAAGGTACATGTTATCAAACTTTATCTGAGGTACAATAGACATTTGCACTTAATTTGTCTTTTGATCAAACTTATGTGTTTGCACAGGGT